CGTCGCGCACCTCAAGCCGTACTACGCGCGATAAGACTGCGAACTGTGATCTTGTGAAACACTTGATAGGATTGTGTTTTGCCAGCCTCCTTATTTTCCCATTCTTTCGTTTGCCTTGCTCTGTTTTGTTGCCTTTCACTTGGCATTGAGACGATGCCTTTTTAAAGGCGGGAATAATGCCACGCGCGTCGGCGAGCGACCGCGTGTGTGGCCGAGTGGTTACCGCGTTTGACTGTCGTGCGGAAAATCTAGGTTCGATTGCAGTCGGTGGAGTGTCTTTTTATTTATTCTTTCAACATTGCGTTCTCATGAGTTCGAGAATATTCTCGACTGATCGAGTTCCGAATGTTCTAGTCGCCGAACTTTCTTGGCCGATTTTTCTAGAAGCCAGCGGGCTCCGAGTAGCGATCTGCAGTCAGTCTAGCCCCAGCGCTCGATCCTGCGGTTTCGCCGACATCGACGCCCGCAACGCTCTGCTCTTTTCTTCTCTTCCTTTTTTGTTTTGGGCACAAGTTCGCCCCATTAAACGTTTAGTTTCTTCAGTTATAATCGCATCATCAATTGTCATTCGTGACAATATTCTCACAGTTGGGGATGTCATTCTGTATTAATAAAATCAGTAACTTCAAAGTCCAACAAAAAATAAATATTTCAAACGGCAGTGAACGGTGGTCACTTAACTCTTGCGTGGTTGTTACATCAAACATGACAGAATAACAACGGTTTTCTGCAACCCGCAAAAAACAAAGACACCTTAGCACAACTGAACTCAATCTCCGAGACAAAGTTGGTAATTTACCGCTCCGACTACCCAAAGGTAATAGTAGCGGATCGAACATTTTTCAACCCTTGTTAAATTATATAAAAAATAGTTAAGTCTGAAAAGTTAAAAACTGAAAAAAGATTGTTTACTAAGAATTAGAAAACTGGAAATTAAGGCTGAAAATTGAATGGAAACGTTGGTGGAACAAGCTTTCAAATGATGAGTACTTCGTACACAAAATCCACTACAAATGAAAGAACGCACTCACACCAGAGCTAAAGATTCGCAGCGTCTTGGAAATGCAACTGCTTATTTACCACGGCTCGCGACGCCTGTAGGTGGGGAATCAAATTTCTGGTTCTCCGGTTTATTGAATATTCACTTCTGAAAGAATTTGTACCTCTCCACCTTACAACGAAATTCGGTGACGCTATTTCTTGTAAAAATAAAACGGCTAGACGTTGATGCTCTCTAGGCATCTCTTACCTGGAAATATACTTTCTTGCTATAAAAAAGCGTGCTTTCAAAGACAGACCAAATTATCAAAGGCGTAATGTACGTTCACGGAAGTTTAAAAACAGATTGAACGTCTCGAAGAGAGTAGAGGGAGAACTCGAGAGATGTCCGAACTAACCTCAAATTTTGGCGTAGGCTGAGAAAGAATCTCCAGCTTTTCGAGCGTTACGAGGCACAGTTTTGATAGCTGGCATCTGTACTAGCGCCCCAGAAACGCGTCTGAGAGTTGTGAGGCGCATAAGGTGGCACTGTTAAACGTCGTTGGCGTTGTCGTGTGAGAAAGACAAGGCCTAAAAAGTAGACTCCGACAGGATGTACGCTTTTGAGATAGTTACCATTCGAAGCGATCCGTAAAAACACGAGTAGCATGTAACCTAGCTGCTTTATTCACTAGTTTCGCACTCTGGAAAAAAAAAAGTCGTTTGAGACGTCTTTCTTAAATTATTGGGATTACGGTTATCGTGTACGACTCAGCCAGCTACGGGCCTTCTGCCACCTGCTTTTATGAACGAAAGCTTAATTCAAGAACTTTACTATATCGGAAAATGAAGACTTTCGTTCATGCCAGAGGAAAAAGAGTTTATCCTCCATTGCTTGCTTTGTACTCAGTTTATTCATATATTTGAATAGTATTGATTAAAAGCAAATATAACATTAAGAGTCCTTCAGGGGCTCATTTTCTTTGTTTTGTTTTGCTTGACAAACCTTTTCAGACATATGAAAAACATTTTTCTGCTGTCAAGGACAGTGGTCAGCGACCTACCGGTACTTAGTAAGCGACTGAAAAGCTCGCTCTTGGTGGCTAAATTACACTCTAAGCTGGTAAAAGAAGGGTAAGACATTTTAAAACTTCTGTGTGCTGCTTGTTTTAGGCTAACCTTGGGAAACATATTTATTCTTTTTTTTTTCTTTTTGCGGTGAGAATCGCTAAAGGAATTTTGTCAACACAATCATGAGTGTAATGTCATCACCGTCATACTCAAGATTCTGTCACCCTTACTGCCGAATTGATTGTGTAGAAATCTTGGTAAAAATAAATTATTATCGACGAGATGCTGACATTTATTATTAACATACTGTCGAAAAGAAGACTACATATTTCATAAATAAAAATAATTTAGTCACAGAAGATGTATTGTTATAAATATGGGCTCCGTTGGTTTAATGTTCTCTTGTGGCACTCGCCCATTGAATGGGAAGGAATCCCTTTGAGTAAGAGGCAGAACGAGTATGTCCAACTTGAAGTATTCATGAAATAAATTGAAGAACGATTGCGGTCTAATGGGTATCAACTATTCTAGTAACTATATACTATCAAAGGAGTCAAAGATGTACTGGAACCATGTAGGAACTTCCGAAGAAACCTGTCCAAAACCTCACATTGCCTACCAAGCTAGTAACAGGTTTTTCAAGCTTTAAAAATACCTTTACCAGTTGCTTAAAAGCTATGCATATTGCTTTCAAGTACTCCTTCTTAGGGCCACTATCTTGAAAAGAACTTATGAACGCTTTGTAGTATTTTTTCAAAATAATAGCTGTAAGATGCATAGTCATGTAAGGAGTGTTTAAAACTATTCTGGTTGCTCTTTTTTTATAATTTTGTAATCATATAAGCCGACTGAAGCCATTGAAGCCGTTTCGTGCCAGAGTTCATACCTAATAAAATATTTTCGCCGCCGTTAGTCGAGCTGTATGTCCTTGCAGTATAATCTAATGAAACAGTGCTGACGTTGTCAGTGCATTTTTAAAGAAGAGGTTGCTCTGCCACGGAGATGTGGCGATTCTGATTAAACGTTGTGATGGAGCCATTTAGTCGGTGAGGTACGATTGCTAATCTGAGCAATAAAGAAGCGTACCCTGTGGGCTAAAATATGACCACAAGTAAGTGGGAGTTTCCTTCATTTCAAAACGGGCTGGTGCCGGAATTAAGCCCGGATAGCTGCATGACTACACCCTGGCAGAGAAAGCTCATTCCAGAAAGCCCTCCTGCCTTTCCACTGGCAGAGGGAACGCCGGAAAGGAGGCGAGACGAGTTGAGCAGGGACTGGCCTCGTCTTTGGCGTTCGCTCAGCTAGGTGGAAATGGTGGAGGGCTTCACGGCAGGAGCTAGCCCTGCTTTTCACAACTTGCGACAGGTTATATCTATCCCTTCAGTTTCTCTAAAATGCAGTGCTCTAACATAATCGGCTATTGTCTACAGCCAGGCAACCTACAACCGGACCCGTTTCCTCGTGACACTACTTGTGGTTTTCCGGATGGATATTTTCTGGGTGTTTGTGGTTACGTCAGCTTACTATGGCTGTCTCATTGCCAGGATACCCATTTTAGAGTAAGTTGTTTTTCTGTGTTTCACCTGACGTAGTGCAGCGGTTTTCGTACCTCTGTGACATTGTTGCAGAAACACAATATTTGTGTTGAAGTTTTTGTCTAGATTTGCTGATTTCAAGGAGCATAATTTAGGGGACGAGGTTTTCTTGCAGACTGTGAATGCACCTACCTCCCTTCCCCCCAAGTAAGCAAAACATATTCGAGTAGATCTGATCTAAATCTTAATTTTAGTATTACTTTACTCAAATTTAGTTTTAGTCAAGCTGGTCTGATGTAAATCGCGTTATAAATTTCATTAATTTTTATTCTCCACTCCAATCTGCCGCTTTCGGCGGACTTCGAACGATTATATAGTCATGAGTACCTTTAGAAACATAGGCATTCAGCTTATTGTGTTCGCGCTCCACCCTTTGTGATTCGTTCTTCGGCGTTTTTATTGCCTTATTCCGCGATCTCATTAGCGGCAGAGTAATAATGAATGCTTAAGACACGCCACATCCTGAGTTCTTCTTTTAGGTTATCATCGATTGTTCTGCTGGTGAAGGTCATGGGTGACCAAGTTTGAATTCTCGTTGTTTTGGTTCGCGGACTGTTTGATAATTTGGTTTCTCTTTTTGCGTCTGACTGTGGTGCATAGATACTGACTGACCGAACAGCCCTCTCGTTCTTTTGCAGAGGCCTGATAAGCGACAGCAGCAGCCTGCAGACAGATACGCTGGCTGTTCTCTTCCTGGCCACCTGTGTCGGGGACTCACTGCTATCGTGCTATCAGCTGCACATGTGCATGCGGCTTGCACAGCGGATTCGATCGATACTGCAGGCTGCCATGTTCCAAAAGGCAGGATAGTTACTTTTTAAATCTTTTTCTGCGTCTTTCTTTTAAGGGTGACAAAGTTTTTGATTGTCATTATTCTCGTCTCTAGTTATATTTACATAGAGCTTGTTACAAAAACCACAATAACAATGAAAAATCGCATGGATCTATGTGCTTGTACGCGATTAAACGGAGCAGTTCAAGTAACTTGGTCACATGGTCTGCGCACATGTTTCTGTGTCTTGAAAACCTTATAATCGAAGTGTAGGAAAACTGGAAGCTGTAAGATATACATCGTACATGGATGTATGCGAGACAGACTACCAGCTTCGGTTATAATTGTGTCAAATTTCACTAGGTATGTGAGCTGTTTACCTAGCTCTAGGTGACTTATTTGAGATGGTACACACGGTCAAGGAACCTATAGTTTCGGGTTCTGTATGAAATACGACTGCAGAGCTCACAAAAATAAGGCATCACAGCTTCTACGCGTCTTCGCAGATGACTCGACTATCACCAACCTCAAGAGCCCAGTATCCTGCAGGACGGGTAGTTTCCATTCTTGGCGTGGACTGCATGATGGTCTCCTTCGGCGCCGTGCAGTTCCCGATACCCATCATCGGAATCATCTGCTCGCCGATTATTTTCGTCATGCTATCTGCGCGTGTGGGAATGGTGCCCGCCATCTTGTGCGCAGCGTGGCTCCTTTTAATCGTTCTGTTACCCATTCCGATATCAAGGATTCAGAAGGCTTTGTGGGTAAGTCGGACAACACATTTCATCGAGTTGAAGGGGAGGTGCAACCATATTCAGTTGGAGTGCTTTTTACTTTTGACTAGGTTTCTGGCACTTGTGAGACCAAAGTATACTCGCACGCAAAGCCATTGACCAAGAACCCTCTCGGTTGCGGTATATTTTCAAAAAGAAAAGAGAACATTCGTTTTAAATTTCTCCTTCACAAAACTCGATGACGTAGTTCGGAGGTCCCAGTGTTGGCATAGTCCCTGAGTGACGATGTTTGAATGCCTCTTATATTTTGGACCAGAGCAGTGGATGAGGGCCCGATGTGGGCTCGCGATAATCATAGCTCGACATGCACTTGGGTAGTGGCTCTTGTCCAATCGCTGCAATGATGACACTAGCCGAACCTTATCAATATCTGGAAGTCTGCGCATATCCTGTGCTTTGCCAACCCGTGGCAAACATTGGGGGCATATAATCAACTCCAGATCCCATGGCGGCATGTTTTTCCTGCGAATTGAGGGGGCGAGCGCTGCTCGCTTTTCTCTAATTATTCTGCGATAACCATTGTACGAAAAAAAAACTATCACGTGTTTTATAGGTTATACTACACATCATGAATTCATTCAAAGTAGCACGCATACAGACATCATTGCGCACCCGTTAAAGGGACTGACAGGGTATTTATGGTGGCCAAGGGTTTTATTTGTACATGACATATCAGAACCCAACTACCCAGAACACAATTTGCGGTTCCGAATTCTTTTTCTTTCCACCCGAAAAACGACGATTGAGAACTGGCCGGCTTGAGTCGCGCTCACTGTCTTCTCCGTGGTCACGTGCTGTTTTCTATGGTTTAGACACGAGCGCCAAAGATAATCACAGTCACGGGCAATCGAAGGCGCACACTCAATACTAAAACAGGTAAAAAATACGATACCCATTATTTGTGGCTTCTAAAAAAGTGCAAACACGTTGATTAAAAAACAAACAAAAAAGTTTCACAGCCACATGACTTGCGCTAATTTTCTCCTCCTATATTTCTTGTTTCTCCCCAGCCCAGTTTCGGTTTCGGTTTCGTGCAGTTGCGTATTTTGGCTGGTTTAAAATATATGTGACGCTGTAGCAAAATATCGATCGGGTAGTTTTCTGACACCATAATAAATCACCTGGCAAAAAAGGAAAACAAATTTGGGGGATTCAGTGTCCCTTTAAAAATATCCTTTTGGTGATAAAAAACACAAAGTTAATGGTGCTAACCCCGCGGTTTTGCAGTGTCGCCAACACGCGACAAACTAAGTCATGCTGGTCCACTAAATTATTCTTTTGCCTGTTCGTAAGTTGAGATGTTCGAGGGTTGATGCTATAGCTATACGCTTGGACGATTCCAAACTTGGGGTTGTTTCGGTAATACCGCACTAAGGTCCCAGTTTATGAAGAAAAATAACAAAAATAAGCTATGATATAAGTAGAAAACTTTTTTCGGTTGGCGTGATTGTGATTGCTATGAATAGATGATACAAAGAGAAACTAAATGAATACCGCGGATTCATTGATGAAAGGCAATGTGTTTGATTAAGAAATCTAGAAGCACGGGACAAAAGGCAACTGGAGTCTTCTTACTAGGCCCCATCCCGTTCCACAATCAGCAGCAGACTTAATGTCTTCTTCATATTTCTGTATCTAAAACGACGATCTGCTTTGTTTCTTTAGAGCAAGCTCATGCAAGCTAGGGACGAGAGGCTCAAGCGCATGGCGGATCTCCTGTCTTCTGTGAGACTAGTGAAGATGTACGCCTGGGAAGACGCTTACATGGGCGCCGTGACAGAGGTCCGAGAAAAAGAAATGGCTCCCGTATTGCGGGTCAACTTACTCGATGGTGTCATCGACTCTTTGTACAGCGCGTCCACCTCTGTGGTGAGTATATAGACCCGCTGTCATCTTTGTCACCACCGTAATCTTCATGTGGCTTGTGTCCTCTGTGATTCAGTGACCTCTGTGTATTCGTGTCCTTTGTGGGACTTGCTGCACAACAGACTCGCTTGTTTATAAATGTCCCCAAGAAAGTTGTCTCCTTCCAGCCAGGTATCCCAAACTCTAAAGAAGTTTCTGGTGATTCGTGACTTGCTTTAGATATTCTATGTTGGTGTTTTTCACTGACACAGAGCAGATTGTAACTATTCCTTGCATTTGAAGTAGACTAAGTCATGTTAAGCATTCCAAGTGAAAGAAGACCAGCTGAGCTTCTTATTACCACTTGCGCCTTCACAGATGACCATCATACTTTTCGGAGCCTTGACCGCCATGAACCCGGCCCGCGTGCTAAATCCTGCGCTGTCATTCTCCTGTATCTATATGCTGTCTTTGACGGACATGGTGACGAACTCGGCCTCCTTGACTCTCCGGATGCGCAGTCTGGTGAGCCTACTGACTTTACAATATTGAGGCGGACTCTGGAATTCTGATGGCACGGTATTACAGCTGGGCTTTAAAGAGGGCCATATGACATTTATTTTGAATCGAAATTACATTAAGAACTACCATAACTAAAATACTAAACTGTAATTAAATTAGTTCAAAAGTTAGCGCAGGAGACGAGAAATTAATTAAAATACGAAGCACTTAAAAAGTAAAGATGTCACTTTTGAATTACTTATTCGTCTTCTGATACAAAAAGAGTGATAACCTTTATATTTGTAGATATAACTTTAGACGCAGCATTAACGTTCTTAAAGGTCACATAGAAAGGAAAATACTTTTTTAGACAGCCTAGATGGAAAAAGGACGCCATAAAACGAAGTTAAAAACAACAAAATTATAATTTAGAGCTATATTTACGACGCGAAACGAATTTGCAGTTGGCGCCCGCGGGCGCCGCAACTGGTCACGTGGTAGACGTGGGCGCTGCCGCGCTGCGCCGCCGCCGCCGTAAAGTCACGCTGCCGCCGCAAAGCTACGCCGCAGCCGCACGCTCTGCACACGCTACGCGCGGCGCGCCGCCTCTTCAACGCGTTTCTCCACGCCGCCGCCACCGGAAGGGAACACTCCGGCGCGCCGCCGCCGTCAATTTGTGACGCACGTACAGGTCCATCACGTGGTGCTTGCGCTCTTTCAGGAGCTTCCTTTGGGCTCTAAAAGTTACTCGCTAATCTTCGTTTTTGATTGCACTTCAAACAAAGATGAATCAGCAACTTTTAGAGCCCATATAAAGCTCCCGAAAGAGCGCAAGCACCACGCGATTCACTAATACAGGCGCGGTTGACGCTTCAGCGAACCGTTTTCAGATGAACGGGTGAGCACCACGTGAAATTGTAGATTCTTTCTAGTGCGGGTCTAATACGAAATGTTCGGTTTCGGCATTAGTTTTGTTCTGGCTCAGGTAAAAATAGTGCTTTTGATTGGGGTTTCGGTCCGGGTTTCTGTTTGGTTCGACACTCTAATTCAAATAGGGTGCGAGATATCTTACTCGGCCTGCATGCTAAACTCACCTACTTCATTTAAGATGTCTCTCAGCATGCGAAGAATCCTGAAGTTCTCCATTGCCGAAGAACAGGAGACTCCACCAACCCACAGCATGCGTCGCACTCAAAGGAAAGGTACGAACAGGTGACTTGCTGACAGTGAACATGTACATATATTGAAAATAAGAACGACAGCGACTTTTATTTGTAATGTCTTAAAATGCAGTAAATGCATAATTAAAAAGTCTATTGTTTAAATGTGACAGAAGATATTAAACATTGGTTTCTGGAAGTGAGGCACCTAAATATTTATAAATTTTCCAAATGCATTTAGCAGTGAATTCAAATTGTAGCCTGTGTCACGTGATGTAAATTTCACAGCTAACTTCGGTGAAGATATAAGTTGCTCTATAGGTTACATAACGTCATCTTCATTGCTAAATTTATCGGGACATGTGACGTCAATTTACCCGACTTAGCGGGAAATACATGAGCAGACATATTCATGCGGGGATTGGAGATTTTGTTGTGATGCCCTTCATGCTTTTATAAAACGCCATTCGGTAGTTCGTCCATTCAAGGTTACGCAAGACTTCTGAATTGCAGCCGGAGGTGCCAAAACAAATACACAAAGAAACTAAGTTTCTTAGTTCCGCGGAAGCTTTCTTTCTAAATTAAAGAATCCATAACACCTAAGGCGTTTCATTATAAAATCAATTTGGGCGGCGGTGTCTCAGAAGTAGAATATTTTGAACACCCTAATGCAACATATCACAAAAATTAATTCTTTACGACGAAGAACTTGTCACGGCCGCGAATACGTGCGGTCAGACATATTGTTGCAGAATCATGTAACATTTGTTTAGATTGTGGGGAAAAACAAAGCTCCAAGATTGATAGAGAAATTTATTTTGAACAGCTGTAAAATAGAGGAAACGTTGTGGATTCCGTCAAAAATTCAGTTTCGGCTTTTTTGCTCATCTGAATTAAAATAGTGGCAATAGTGGGCGCTTGAGAGATACAGCCACTAAAATTCGAAGCAGTCTGACCTAGTTTCCAGGTGTGAATGATTTAGTTGAAGCAAAATATGAACCACACCAAATTTTACAATCGTGTTGAGACAGCGTAATGTCGGTCTGCCTTTGAGGCGGGGCGACGTATTTACGCCATCAATGAAAAATGTTATCGAGTGCAGTACATCTGCTAGCCTGGGATCTTAAAGGAATACTGAACCCAATAATTTAGTGTCAATAACAAGTGGCGCACTTCCTTTCTACGAGCCAGCACTCGCCGGTGTGGGTGAGCACACGCAATGAAATTGACGTCATTGTCCCCCATTCGCGCTTAAAATGAGAGTGAAATGTATGGTCTTCGGGCCAAAGGAGAATAAATACAGACTTTTCATCTCCAGAAGTAAAGCTACGTGCTTGTTAGACCAATAAATCATTTACCTTTTACACCAGACCTAACTGTGACGATGAAAAGCTTGTCTTTATTCTCCTTCTCTCTGGAGCCCACACATTTCACTGTCATCTTAGGCGTGAATGGGGACTACGACGTCAATTTCGCTTCGTCTGCTCCGGCACACCGTCGGCTGCTTGCTCGTGGATAGATTGTGCACCTCTTAATATAGACACTGAAATGTTTCGTTCAGCATCCCTTTAAGCGTGCATCACGCAGTGGTGATACCCGACGACTCGTCGGTATAATGCTCATTCAGATCGAAACGAGAAGCGGTGGAGTTTGAAGCCAGAATCTCTGCGCTCCGCAGTGCAAGCTTTCGCTCTGCGCGCTCCAGCTGGAATGCGTTAGCATACTCAGCCACCGATGCCTCCCCTCTCCATACAGAAGAGGCCAGTGGTTGAAACAGTGATTGAAACTATCGTGAAGTTTTGTGACCGACGTGGAAGCAACCAAGAACAAACAAACCAGATGGCCACAGGAGCCATGAGCGCAGTGAAAGTTTCCCACTGTGCACTGTCCAGCCAAGAGGAAGGTCGAACTAAATGCGGCACCAAAATATATAAAAAAATTAGGGGTGTGCGAATAGCGATTCGAATCGAATAGCACAACGTCATTCATGGCCTTTGCGGTACAAAGGAAAGCCGATGCAACCGGCTTTCTTTGCGCTGTTGATGCTAGGGATGACACTGCGCTATTCTATTCGAACCACTATTCGCACACCCCTAAAAAAATATATATATATTGTCACGGATGACAAGTGACGAGGCGGCGAATGACTGGGTAAACTGAACGTTTAATGGGGCGAACTTGTGCCCATAAATAAAAGGAAAAGGAAAGATAACAAGAGAGCGTCGCGGGCGTCGAAGGCGGCGAAGCAGCACGATCGAACGCCGAGGCGAAACTGACTCGACAAGGTCGCGGGCGGCTTCTTATCTAGAGTGCGTCACTATCTCGAAGATACGGCGAAAGCGGCTCGAGCGTCGCGCGCTCGGGGCGAGAATGAACACGCACTTTCTAGAAAACAAAAGCAGGAATAAATGATAGAAGTTACGTCTGGAACAAGAATAAACGAGAACTTTCTAGAGGTCCGTGACCGAGCGTTGCTTTCTCAGCCCTGCGCGCGGCAATATATAGTGGAAAACAGAATGGACGGGTAACCAAGTTAGTTTTTACACTGTGTTTTTTTATTCATATTTATTAAAAATGCCCGAAAGCTCGCACTTACACATTAATTTTTTTCTGACATGGTAACAGAGGAGTGGGGAAAAAACTGGAGGGACCACACAAAGCTTTGGAGCTTTGTGTTGCCCGTCCTGTGTTTCCTTCGCTCTGTCGGGAGAAAACCGACTCTCCGCATGCCTCCTTTGAAGACGCGTTAGAGTGCTCTCATGAGTTATAACTAGGGCTCCGTGTTCTCGGAGTTTTTTTTTTTTCGTGAAATTCGGAGGGTGTTTTTCGGAGTTTAGTTTTTATCAAAAATTCGATGTTTATCGGAGTTTATTTTTCGTAAATCCCCAATTCTCCGAAATTCGGAGATTAATTTCGCAGTGTTTCCTGTTAAAAATAATAAATAATAACCGGATGCAAACGTATGCCAGATAAAAAAAGAAAAATTAAACACGCTTGTATCAATTAAGATTTCTTCAGTTGAATTTTGCGTTGGTGTCATTGACAATATTAATTTTTCCCTCGACAAAAGTCGCACACAAGTGTGGCTACAATAAACGTCGATACCTTAAAATCAGTAAACTCCCGGGGGCAGTCGCTACGAAGCTCGTAGTCATCCCATCTTATTCCATCGATCGAGCCCGCGGCCGCTCAAGGTGGAGTGGTTAAGGCTGTAATAGAGAGTTTCAACTGTCCCTTTTCTCTATTTGATACAATCTCTATTGTCCGTAGCTTTCATTGTTACAAAAACTCACCTTCTCCTTTCTCTAAATCACTAATCGCATGGCTCAAAATGGAAACCAAAGGAGTGGCTTTTGTCGTGACCCGAATGTACAATGACCTGTTGCCCTGAATCAACCTCGACGAGACAAGCGGCAAGACCCCTTTTGACAACGGTCCGAGATTTGAAAGATAATTACGGTGCCATTTTCCCAGGACCATTAACACCCTGCTAATCAAATTTTAAAGACGTATTTTACTTTTTTTTTTTGCCGGGGGGGGGGGGGGGGGGGGGAGCGGGGGCGGTGGCATTGGCACATAGACATTCAGAGTTTATCGGATAAATCCGAATTGACCAAAAGTTTACCGGCGGGTGTTTTTCGAAGTTTTTCGAATTTATATGAAAACACGGAGCCCTAGTTATAACATAGGAGTCAGAACGTAGCCCCTCATACGCTACACACCAGCTAATGTTTACAAACAAAACGGAGCACCCCTACCGGCACGCCACCTGCGCGGCGCATGCGCGTTGGGGTGTGGTCAAAGAGTTACGCCTCCCGCATCAACAAACCATTGGAATGTAATATTGTCGGCGTCAATGTGAGTCCCCGTGCTATTAAGTTTCGCTCTAGGATTGTTGATTGTGCGTCTTCCTAGAAATGACTTCTTACTACTTCAGTTGCTTGGGTGAAATTAACGAAGCTCGTTACATCGCAAACCTACGCGTAAATAGTGTGACGTGCGGCGATTCATTCTGCGTGAAAACCGCAGAACGTACGCTAAAGTCTTATTCACGCGATGAGATTGTGCTCGCTTTTTTCAGTCGCGACGTAACTCGGGTTGCGAAAGCGTGGCCGGCAGCTGCGACGCTCGACATTGATGCTGAGAATCGAAAGCAGAATCGGACCAAGCGAATAAAGCATAACAAGTATGTGATGGCCACTGGTAACACTGAATAACATCTCCCTTTTGTCTACTGTTTACACCGTGCCTACTTACCGCAAACAAGCTTCAAACCGAAATATTCTTTGAGGCCGGCTCTTACTTCCTATCACAACGTTTGGCCTACTAGACGCTGTCCCTTGAACGAGCATACGACCGTTTGAACGAGTTTGAAGGAGCACACGACAGTATGAACGCGAAGACGCTCTGAAGACGGTTTCGGGGTGGTTTGGATAACTTGAAGGTTTTTCCCCGTTCATGTTGGAACAAAAAAACAAAAAAAAAATATAAATATGTCGGCTTCAATTATTCGTGAATTCAACCCAAAGTGATTCCCGCTCAAAACATAGTGTTTAAACGGCGTTTGATTTTCCTTTTCACGCATCTATCCACGTTCTTGGGCAAACCGAGTAGGCATAAACCACGTAAAAACTGATCTTCATACTTTTTCCGGCTCTACAGCCCCAGTCGCGCCGTTTTGACGAGAAGGCTGGTTTTAGTCTGGTTTCTTCTATAACAACGCAAAAAATGCCCGTCCCGCATGGTGACTTCCGCCCACACTTCAAGACCGAAAGTGCGCCTGAAGCGCACTTTTGGTTTGTGGGTGTGGGCGGACTTCACTGACAACCAGTTTACTGGTTGTCAGTGAAGTCCTCCGCTGTGCTGTTGTCAGTCCTTAACATTCCCAAAACGAGAATGGGAGAAGACAGCGAGGAGGCAAAGAGAAAAGGCGTGACGTTTTGCACATGGAAGTGTGGCTCACATCTTCGATGAAAACGCACTTGCTCGCCAAAGCCTTCCCGATTTAAGAAAAACGAAACGAACAAAAAACGTGCAAATTCTTTTTTTGTTTGCAGTGCGCGGCACAGGCTATGTCCTGTCTGGACAGCCCATCAACAGGTCTTAACGCTGCCCATGTGCTTTCCTCAGGCGAAGTTGTCTTGGAAAAATGCTCCTTCGCCTGGACCAATGGTCAGGGACTCAAGGGCCAAGCTGTGCTCAGCGGGATTTCAATGGACGTCCAGCCAGGTGCCCTGGTCGGCATCACCGGGTTCGTGGGAAGCGGAAAGTCATCCCTCCTTGCAGCCATCTTGGGAGACATGCACCGCCTTGAGGGAAACGTCAGAATCACCGTGCGAACAACTACTCACCATTCGGTTCATTGGGCTTTGGGAAACGTCTAGGTCTAAGACATGGACTCGGTTTAAGACATGCACTTTCTTGGCTTAATGGCTCGGGGTTTGAAATAGAATACGTTTCTTTCGAGGATGGCTAGGATAAAAACGTAAGTCTCAAAAGAGAAACACGAATGGGAGACTGAAACGTGAGACTCAAAAGTGAGGACAAGAACCACTTTGGGGGAAAGTTTGTTTCATGACACAAGTGTTGTATCCAAGAACTCAATACAAAATCTTTATGGAAGTTCAGTGTTTTTTTTTATAAGGAACAGAAGCACCAAAAAGTCGACGAGGAAGGGAACATGAACCTCCCATCTAGCACGTGTAAAAAAACCTCAACCGATTTATTCTTTTTGGACATTGATATATGTTAGCACAAGTTAGCGAAACTAAAACTAATTTTTTGTTTGTTTTTGTTTTGAGTAAACCTTATTTGTGAGTACCAGTAAGACAATCCTTCCACATTTTATACTTAATGTATCGCAGGGGAAGATTGGATATGTTCCCCAGGTGGCCTGCATTTACAACATGACCGTTCGAGACAACATAGTGTTCGGTAAGGAGTTCGACCCTGTCCGCTATGGCCGAGTGCTCCGAGCCTGTGAACTTCTTAACGACATCAATACATTCCCTGCTGGCGACCTGACGGAAGTTGGAGAAAAAGTAAGTAATAATTCCACAAAGTACGTACATCTTGGAGATGGTGAAAAGTTTTTTATTATTAGTTGTCCCATTTCGAAGAACCTTAAATATATGATTGAAAAAAGACGTTTACAAATGTTTGTAATGCGAAACTAGAGTGCAGCTCTTGAGGAGGAGGAAGGGAGGGTATGCCCTCCCTCTCTTTCGTATCCTCCCCTCCTCCTCTCCTCCTCCTCCTCTCCGCTCCTCCCCCTTCTCTTTTTTCCTCCTCCTCCTTCTTCCCTCTTCCTTTCCTCCTCCTCTCCTCCTACCGCTGAATTTGTTCATGGGTCACGTTACACGAAGTCGTGACGTCATTTTCCCCTTTAAATTTAGCGGGGAAACTGAATTTCCGGGGAGGTAACGTGACGTCGATTTCCCCCATAAATTTGGAGGGAAATTTCCCCGCTAACTTTAGCTTGAAAACGTCTCATAATGCAATGCGCGTGGTTGCGCCGACGCTGACGCCGACGCCTCTCAAGCCGGAAATGGGCGCCTAAGAGCTGCCCTCTAAAATGAAAGGTTTATTTTCCCGTTTCACGTTTTGAACTCTTTAGTTAAAACTGCGAGAGGCCCTATATTGATTGGTATCGCCTCTCTGCAGCCATTGTCGGAACTAATGGAACTGCTTATTTTAAAATTTCGATGACTAATTTGTGAAACATTCGTTTATTTTATCCGCTTCTTTATTTTATATGAGGCGTACAATGCCCACCTCTTTCTGTAATGCCTTTAGGCCATGGGAAAAATGGAAAAAATGTAAATCAAACGCGGTAGCTGAAGCTGTAAAATTTACCCTGAATTTTTATGATTGGATAAGGCAATGAAAGAGAATTGTTCGATGTCCTTCATTGCTTGTTGGGAAGCTCAAAATCATCCCAACATCCCCATATTCCAAATGCAACCTCTGCTTTCCTCGTGTTGCAAAAAAACTGAGGTAGATATTAAGGAAAGATAAAAAGCAATTAAATCATGAAATCTGACTCTACATTTTAGAAAAAAAAAGAACAAGCAAACCTATTTTCTTGCAACAGATTTGTAAAATAAAAGCAGAAGCAGCTATCGGAAGCATTATTCACTTTTATCAATCACACTCGCAATTATGTCGCCCGAAATTTTTTACTTTTAAAGTTAGAATTTAACTTCAAGGTAGTTAGTTACAAATGACGCGTTTTAGCATTTGATACTGAGCATATTTTTTGCGTGATTATTCTTTTAAATACAGGGTGAAACGTTGAGCGGTGGTCAGAAGCAACGAATCTCGCTTGCCAGAGCGGCGTACAGTAGCTGCGAGATTTACCTTCTTGACGACCCACTCAGCGCCTTGGACCCCAACGTCGCAGCCAATGTATTCAAGCAAGTGTTGGGGTGCAACGGCCTCCTTAAAGACAAGGTATTGGTCCCTTGACGAAATACATTCGTAGCAAACTCCCTTCTAGTTTCTTTATTAAGTATATGTAATATTTTTGTCGCAACTGGAAGCATCAAACTAACTTGAAAGGGGACCTCCTGGAAAACTCTAATGGTCTTAGATTCTTCGGGCTGATGAATGCACATACCTATGCATTAGACATTTCTTTACTCCAAAACATTTTGGGTATCAGCTTCTTCCATTAGGAATGCTAGAATGTTCCCTTTAAATAGGGTCAGCTGAACAATTGCAAGTTAAAAAAAAACCGTGAGAGGAAAAGACATATACACCGCTGACTATCAACCTGCTTCCTTTAATACTTGTAATTCTTCAGCAGACCCTATTCAAGTATGTACCAACTAGCTCAAGCAAAACCTGTAGTTGCCTTTTAAGCTGCACCTCACCGAAGCCTAAAAAGTCTGGCACATGCTTTTTTGGCAATAAGGAAAAGCCTCGAATTAGGCTCAGAAAATTGATGTTCTTCACTCATAACAATTGTGTTGTATGTCTGTTTAGGCAATTGTGTTGTATGTCTGTTTAGGCGGCGAAAATGTAGCCCTCCTCAAAGGCCGTCTTGTAACTACTGTAGATGAGGAATTCAGCCAGAGCGGTACGCTTCTACTAGCCTGGTGACTTAAACCTGCATCAGTCAGTAATTGTGCACAACGGCCTGCCGGCAGAATGCTCATCCAAATTGAAATGGACAAAGGTGGGGAATAAACCGAACATCCCTGGGTTCGGCAGCGCGAGCTTTTGCTCCACGCGTTCCGACCTGGTGTGCGTTAACGTACTCGATAGAAGGTCCCCTTCTTTTAGGTCTCAAGAAGCTGTTTCCAGGCTTAATGTTGGCTGCCACTTTGAGAATTGCAGGAGGCTGCTTTAATGGCCATGTGTTCATTTAGATTGTCTCTGTTAGATTAAAAATTGGAGCTATGATGGCAGAGCTCAATGAAAATTTTGTGCAAGTGCACCGACGTGTGGGTACACTTATAATCCTATAATGCCGCAAGCAAGCAGACAATTCCACCGCCTCTCGTTCTACCGAAAAACCGCACCTGACCTCGTTAAGGGTTTCTTTGTTTGTCTATTGATTTCTACGGTTGTCACTAGTTATTTCAACTTTTTTTTGTTTAATTGTATTGTTTTGGCCTATTTTTTATTCTATTCGTCATTTTCCTATTAATTTGATGGAAGTATTTCTGAATTTTCGGCTGTCTTCGAGGGCATGTTTGGAAGTTTCTTTCTCACTTGTTATTTTTTTTTTATTGACTTCTTATGTAGCTGTCTTTCTTATGTACCGGTTGATTTTATTGTTGGCCTTTGATCTAGGTTAGTTAAAACAACTCTACGCCAAATTGTACTGTAATATTTTTTGCGTTATGTATTCTTAATTTTGTAATTTTATGATTTTTAACTTTGTTTTTAAGACCCGAATTATGGTCAGCAACCAAGGCAACCTGTTAAAACACATGAGCCTACTGATGCTGATGGACAGGAACACCATGAGCGTCTACCACAGCCTCGAAGAACTGCTCCGAGATGAACGAGCTCCCAAGACCCTGAGCATCGGGATGGCGGACCAGGGCCACAGTGAACCCACTGATTACGAGTGAGGATGCTTTAGGAATCTGGACAATATTGTGATCACTTAATATCCAAATATTTGATTTTCAAAATTATCTGTAGTCACAGAGATAGAGCTAAACATTGCATAAAAGTGAGGTCAAAGTTAATTACGGTGGTGTAGCGAGCTTCAGAGATGGAAAATTGACTTAGAGGACCTGACCCTTACAAAAAAAGTCATATCTGGCCAGATCTGAAGATTTCAGATATGGCCATATCAAAAATTGGCCACATATAACCTGATATGGTATCTCTGCCAGATATAGCCCGATACCCCTGGCCAGGTATGGAAATCCCAGATCTGGCTAAGTAAGGAAATTCCAGATCTGGCCAGGCATATCAAAAGGACACAAGCCTGAAACAGCACTTTATAACTTCTTTACCATTTTTTACCACCTGAGACTGGGTGGAAGAAACACGACGACGTCTCACGTCGTCGTGTTTCTTCCACCCAGTCTCAGGTGGTAAAAAATGGTAATTGAGACGTCGTCGTGTTTCTTCCACCCAGTCTCAGGTGGTAAAAAATGGTAAACTTACACCAGCTCGCCTGCGCCCTAACTGTTTTTTTTATAACTTCTTATTGTCTACAATTCTCCCAAATGCCCCAGCCCGCACTCGAGGAGTTATGGAAACGGGGATCCTTCAGCTCCCTATTGATCTCTAGTTTTGACCAATTCCATGGTTACACAGTTTCGAGTGTAATTCGTAGTCACCCTGAACAAGCGTCCCATAAGGTTCAAGTACCTGTCACATCCCTTTTAAATTTTCTCGTCAATGGCAGCGTTTATGATACTGTGCATTCTGTCCAACCTTCAACCAGGCTGAGCCGCCAAAATCTCTTACCATATTATCATTCTCGTGATTGTTGTTTTAGCAGGAATCACTTAAAAGCCGAGAAATTACATAAACCAAAACCGGGATTTAACTCGAATTCAGCGGAGCTGTTTATGACATTTTGAGCATTTCTAAGTTAATATCAGCGTCTGTGAAGCTGTACGAGAATAATAATAACGTAACAGATATGTCTGCAGCTCATCCTGGTTGAAGGTTGGACGGAATGCACAGTACTGACATTGGCGGAACATTTTAAAAGTTGTATGGCAAGTACTTTGGTTCTGTACGGCACGTGTTCAGGGTGACTTCGAATTACACTCAAATCTGTGTAACCAAATAATTGCTCAAAATTTTGTATCACTAAGCAGCTGAAGAAACACCGTCCCCATGATTCCTCGAGTACGGGCCGAAGCGCTTGGGGGATTTAGCAAATAGTCTACTCGGGTGTAATGTTAACACTTTGAAATAATTAAGCTATATTGAAATCCTCGTGAAAACTAGCACAAATAATCTGATACTTAAGCTTGTCAAAGCTGAAGTTTGGGATTCTTTGTGCCAATATTTAGCTCGCGAACAATGAGCCATTCACAGTTTGCTAACAAAGATTTTTTTTTAACTTTTTTTAACTTTTGAATATATTGAAAACCGGCCGCCAGATAAGTCTGTATATACGCCAGATAAGTCTATATACGCCATATCAGGCAGTAAATATGCCAGATAAGTCTGTGTATACTCCATATAAGGCTGTATATAGGCCGTATATAATCATATAATGTTTGATGTGGCCAGATATGGCCCAGATATAAGACTTCCATACGGGGATGAATCGAAACACGAAATGAATATTAGTTGCTGTATTAACGTTTAGAAGTTTAGTAATTATTTAGGCATATTCTATGATAGAAGCAGCTGACTGAAAGAAGTCTATGAAAAAATAGTGAAGAGCCCTTGGTGCATCGGCGTCTTTTTCGGTTAACGTCCCAAATCCGTCGCATCCTTTTCACATTGAAAAACGTACAACGTGATACGTTTGTACTAGACTGTGTTAATGTAAATTATATTGCATTGCGCGCAATTTGAGACGTAAAAAATGCTATTAACCTAAGCCTTTTCTCTAGGGCTGTTACGCCGGAAGTCATTGTGTCTCATGGTCGTAAGCCTAAAGGCAGAATCGCATGAACAGACTCTAAAAGAGACCCAAGCAGCAAAGCTCTTTGGGTCAAAATTTGGTTTTGATCTAAGAAATTAAAGCCCCCCCTCCCCCCCCCCCCCAAAAAAAAAAAAAACCCGCCAATTTGTGTTTTGGTCTCATTTTCTTTTGTCAAACTATAGGCATTTTTTGGCCGTAAATTCCCAAAAGGTGTCAGGGGTTAGGCTTCACGGATTTATTATTCCGTTGTCAACTCTCTAAGCACGAGTTCCAGAAAGATGCCAGAATTAGGCTTTATTCTAGTCGCTCTGTTTTCACCTGACAACTTCGGGCCTAAATTTCCATACAGGCGCCCGAACTTGGCTTCACTGTTGTTTGGTCGATACGTAGCATTTTTGGGTCATGTCCGGCACTTTGGCTATTATATGCCGAAGCAGAAGAATGAAATATTAAAGTCAAAGAAACGTACTTTGAGATTGAGCAGGTAATCTGGTGGAAGTTAATTCAGAATTGTTTCTTTTGTTTCTTCTGTGTCTTTTATCTACTACTTAGAGTTTCTTTTCTTTTTTTTCTCGCTACATTTACAACTTATACACGAACGATATACTTTGAATGGACATTTCCTTATTCGCCTCATCGGCGTCAGCGTCGCTCTGCGTTGGCGCATGTCACTCCAGGCGAATCGCAACAATGCGATACGTGGGAAATTCCGGCATGTGTTTCATACAGATCCGTCAACGCCCAAAGTGTCCTGCCAAACAAATACGAATTAGAGGATGCGCTTGGAGGAAGCAAGACCAGGCGCGACTTTGAAAACTTTCGATTCAGCCCCGTGCTGCCGGAGCAGCGTGGCATGATTGTTTTGAGATTGACAGAAAATGTTCTTTAGTGAGAAACTAAAGCGAGAGGTTTACAGACGATTTCAGGTATCTGTGCATGGGTGCTGCCATAACCGACATTCAGTTTTTGTTCAGTCTTATTTCATTTCATTTCATTCATGATTCCCTCAGGGCCCGAAGGCGTTACAGAGGAGATTAGGCGGTTAATACATACAAGTAACATAGTTGAGTGAAACAAAAATAATAATAATAAAAAAAACGCGCTATGCAACACGTGTTAAACGTTTGTGATGACATTTTTAAGATCAACAGTGGTAGTTATTGAAACTATATGTGTGGGAAGGCGATTCCAATCAATGGAGGTCTGGGGTAGAAGAGAAGCATTTCATTCGCTTCAGTTCACCACTACCACAGTAAGGCAGGTTATTGCCATTTTAGGCACTACTGCGTCCTTGTCTCAGTATATGCCTTTGCAGAGGATTGTCAACGCCCGTTTCAGTGGTTGGCATCTCATAAAGACAAAAGAAGAGCGCCAATGACGGGTGTATCTGGCGCGTGTTTAAAGCGTCTACTAGCTCTCAACACACTTCATCGGCTAGCAACAATGCACTGTAACAAAATGTCTTCTTGCTAGTTGTAGAATGTTTTAGTGCTTTCCATTTGGTTACACTGCGAAACACCCGACTGCAATAACTGTATGCTCTGCATCTGGAATAGAGTATCGCAACGGTCTATAGTTTTGATGCTCCCAGTATAGCACCAAGCGACCGTTGCATTTGAACTTGGTGGGGCAAGGTGTGCGACCTTGATCAGCGTTGGCATGGTGGAGTGCCTGGCCAAATGTTCTTCGACGTTGGCTTTGAATTTGTTTGCATTTGCGTCTTAATGCGCTGGAGTGCGAAACGGAGTCCCTTAGGCAGAAAGCGAGACGTCGCGCAACGCGACGACGAGAAAGAAAGTGGAACCGCGCTCGACTTTTCAATGCCTCTGCGCTTACGTAGAGTTGCGGGAGATCAGTCAGAAGCCAAGAAAGGAAAAGGAGGGCCACGTGATCGCGGGCGCTCTTCCGCGACGACCATAAAGTTTTCCAATTTGAGTCAGGACCACGGTGGTCAGGACCTTGCTCTTGCTACTTGGCGAGCGGTGGGGACTCGGAAGCAGCAGGTTGTTCCAAGGATGCGATGGTTCAAACTGGGAGATGTCGCGGAGGCCATAGGAATGATCCCAAGACCGGCTACCTCGACGCCGTCGCCGGGCGCCGTCACATTGCCGAAGATTTCGCTTACTATCGATTAGCCACGAGTAACGATAGCAAGCTTTTATAGTATCAAAACTTGGATCAACTGGGTTTCAACGCAACTGTGTGCTCATGCTTTGTATGAACGGTCTCCGCAACGTCCTCTAGCCGTCGGCCGATACTAAACGCATCGCGTTGAAACGAAAATGTGTGACGGGCCTCGACTTTCTGCCTCGGAAGCGTATGCCCGTGCGCTCCTCAAGTGCTTTGGATCATGCTGTGCATGTCACCCCTTCTCCACCAATGAGGAGATGGCGGTAAAAAGAAAAGGAAGGCTGTATTTTGGCTCCGCCATATAGTTACTCCGCGCCCGGCAGACTCCCGCTGAGGCACACCCCCATGAGATTGACCTTCCTTTCCCTGGGCAGAAGCGCGCTGAATCCTTTCCTCAGACGTCAACGCCAAAAAAGCGCGGAGAAAACAGTCCACGTGGTTTGGCCATGAGTAAATCTGGAGGATTTTATTTAATTTTGTATTTGCTTTTCAGCACTCAGACCGCACCACTGGAGCAAGATGAATCAAACGGAAAGGTTACTGATATGGAATCACAGACGTCCTCCAAGGTATGTTTTTTTTTCGATTTTAACCAATTTACTCTTTCCTGTTTAGATGTAATCGTACGCAACATTTGTGTTGTATGTCAGTATGTTATAATTAGGGTTACTAGCCTTGAGGTTTTACCTGCATTCAAATTTGAGTGGTGTTTTGGCTTTTTTTTTTATGACGGAGGAAATATTGGGGCTTACCTGGGTTTAAGTCAAGGACGATTTATTTATTTATTTATTTATTTATTTATTTATTTATTCAAAATACCTCAAAGGCCCGGTGGGCATTACATGAGGGGGGGTTATTTTCCAACAAAGGCATGTA